ATGTCGACGGTCGTGGAAAGTCTATCTGGGACGACTTCTCCCGAACACCTGGAAAGACGCTTGATGGCAAGAACGGTGATGTTGCGACCGACTCTTATCGCTTATGGAGAGAAGATATTGCGCTCCTCAAGCAATATGGAATCAAAGCCTACCGCTTCTCCATCGCTTGGTCCCGTATCATTCCCCTCGGTGGAAGAAACGACCCCGTCAATCCCAAAGGCATCAAGTTTTACTCTGATGTGATTGACGAGCTCCTCAGCGCTGGTATTACTCCCTTCGTCGTAAGTTCATCGTTGGCTGCTTGTGGTGGTCGGAGGTTGAAACTCTTCCTTGGCATCGTCTTTGACCCGCACAGACGCTCTATCACTGGGATTTGCCCCAAGAGCTGCATAACCGCTATGGAGGCTGGCTTAACAAGGACGAAATCGTCCCAGATTTCGTTAACTATGCCCGCATCTGCTTCCAATCCTTTGGAGATCGTGTCAAGCATTGGTGAGTGTCGATTCTTCTGGTCACCTGCATGCACCATACTGAAAACATCTCCAGGCTCACTCTCAACGAGCCCTGGTGTGTCGCTGTTCTCGGTTATGGCCGCGGTGTCTTCGCACCAGGTCGTTGCAGCGACCGCAATCGCTCTGCGGAAGGGGACAGCAGTACAGAGCCCTGGATCGTTGCCCACAACTTGATTCTGTCTCATGCGTCCGCTGTCAAGGTCTATCGTGATGAATTCAAGCCCACCCAGGAAGGAATGATTGGCATTACCCTCAACGGAGACTGGGAAGTGCCATATGACAACTCTCCAGAAAGTGAGTATCGCTATCGAACAATTTTTCCGCCCGTCGAATCCGTGATATCTAATTCTAACGTGTTTGACAGACATCGCCGCTGCACAGCAAGCCCTGGACGTCGCAATCGGTTGGTATGCAGACCCAGTCTACCTTGGCTTCTATCCCGATCACATGAAAAAAATGCTCGGAGATCGTCTTCCCGACTTTAGCCCAGAGGAATGGGCCTTGGTCAAAGGGTCATCGGACTTTTATGGCATGAACACGTATACCACCAATCTTGCCAGTGCGTACCGAACCCTCTATCCCGATATACAAGTCTCTCTGATCTCGATCTTATGTAGAGGCCGGAGGAGAAGATGAATTTCAAGGTCTCGTCGACTACACATTCACTCGAGCTGATGGGACGGAACTTGGCACACAAGGTAAGGAACATTCTTCTGTCCTCCGGCACATTCCAGGAGTAATAGCGGGGGCGCGCTGTCGAAACATTGTCGGCGAAATTAACCCTTGACTGCCCCGCACTTCGAGATAATGTTGGACTGACTTTTCTTTTTCTCCTCCAGCTCACTGTGCCTGGCTCCAAACTTGTGAGTCGCGGGTTCATTCACCTTTTTCGAATATTTCTGAACCTTTCCTTTAGATCCCGAAGGTTTCCGTGCAGTAAGTTATTGACCGGATATTGCATATCAACGGCGTCTAACCTAATTCTTTTCTCAAGCTTCTCAACTATGTCTGGAAGGTTCGAATGACATGACCCTGTTTATCTGCCTTGATTACTGACTGTCATCTTTAGCGCTACAAGCTCCCGATCTACGTGACAGAGAACGGTTTTGCTGTTAAAGGAGAAGACAGCCTTCCCATTGAGGAAGCCATCAAGGACCACGACCGTGTCGAATACTTCCGTGGAGCCACCGACTCCTTGTATAAGGCGATGTACGAGGACGGCGTTGACATCAGGTCTTACTTCCCGTGGAGCTTCCTTGATAACTTTGAATGGTAAGATATAATGTCCTTCTGATCGTGACACGCCCTAATAATTCACTGATTCTAGGGCCGACGGCTACGGTACTCGATTCGGTGTCACTTATGTTGACTACAAGACGCAGAAGAGGTACCCCAAGGAGTCTGCGAAGTTCTTGATCAAGGTGAGCTTGGATATAGTGGAGGTACTGTGAGCTGTCTCTAACATTATTGCGTTTAGTGGTTCCGCGAACACCAAGAACAGCCATCGGGCTCTGCTACTCCTCCTATCCTTACCGCTCAGACTACTTCAGTACCTGAGCACCTCTCTCTGGACTCGCACTCCTCTGCCACAACCGCGACAAACTCCCCATCAGCCAAGACAGCTTGGAGATGCCCTCTCAAGACTAACGGCAATCTGGCTTGCGGTCATGAGATCGCTAACCACGATAAGGCGCTAGTGAAGCAACACTTCGAGTGGCATCTCACTCAAGTAGGCCTTGCCGTCCGCAACGGGGTTCGTTTCTATTCATTGCGTGCTATCAAACACGTCACTGACCTGAAATTAGGAACTTGAACTATTGGATTCTTCTACTCCGAGCAAGGAGAAGACTGGAACCACGCCTCCTCTAGAGAGGGCTACTGCAACCACTCCTCGTCCGATACGGTACGCTGAGAAGACAACAACACCGTTAGTATATCGTCTCTTTGGCTTTTCGACCAACTAAAACTATTTACTTTCAGTGAACGCGCAAAGACATCCACATGGAAGAGCATCATGCGCAAATTAGTCATGTAAAGCGCCTCATCTTGCCCTTGCATTGGTTTGATGCGCGCCGAACGGCTCGTATGGTTCTCAACAAGACGCCGAGCATTGTGAAACACTCCCCATACCGCAATGCACCCTCCATCATCAATCGATGATAACCACCCCTCGATTGCTGCGTCCGCTTCCGTCTACGTTCATTTTCGTCTATCCTCTAAGTTAACTCTTGCATCGAACTCTCACTTCCATTCCTTCCCTTCCCAAACTCGGTCTCCAAAAAATCGACGACTCGTTTGCATGGTGCCCCCATGATCGAGGGCCCAACACCAACGTTCCTTGCGGCTTCGTATCGTCTCATCTTTGTCACTCCTTTCCGTACATTGTCGGAAACCTTGTGTGACCTAGCCCGCCTGTACAGATAGACCCTCAGATCGCTGTTTTCGTCTCTTGTATGCTCGCCCTTTTCTTTTCTTTGATCTCTCAAGAAGCAAGTTTGCATTTGCGACCATGACTCGATGACATTAAGAAAACTGCGAGATCTAAGTCGACACGATCTGAGACTCCCACGTCTGATTGACTCATTGCTACGACTGTTGCGCCTTCTTGGCTTTCGCCTTTTCTTTTTGGGCTTCAGCATATATGTCATCATTGAACCCCAGGCGATTACGTGCAATCTGTTCAGTAGATGAGCCTAAACGACCTGAAGAGAGAGAGGGGGTGCAATATACCTCGATTGCATAGAACTGCATCCGTGTCACTGCCGATTCCCTTGTTTGTTAGAATGCATAGAGAGTGGGCATGTGAATCGTACCGAATATGGAATTCGTCTCTGAATATTCTCCTGAGCTGTTGGTGCGGATCAATGATCCAAAATTGTAATCGTCGACCCGCTTTTCGTAGCTGAATGCGGCCAGTGAGTTTCATATACAAAGAATTATATCACAGTGCTTACGCCGAAATAAACTTGCGCCATCTTTCTTTACCGGTCGGGTCTTTCATCCATTCTTCGTCCAGCATCTTGATCTTCTGTGGGTTCTCGATCAGTTCGGGAAAGTCTTGAGAAAAATGTTCGTGTATCTCGTCGTCTAGTCTTGTGAGTTTAAGGCTTGATGGTGGGACGGCTTCCAGCAAATTCCAGTACGTCTGTGGCATCCGGCGCCTTTAATTATTTTCCAAGGAAGATTGATAAAAGGGAGACATTCTAGCTTACCTGAGCGTGTTCGACCGCTTTGACGGCGAACCTAGACGACGAGAAAGGGCCAGGAGTCAGTGTGGGGAACCTCGATCGTAGAAAGGTGTGTACTGTTTTTCAATCTAGGCAACAACATACGATCAGAGATATTCATTGGGACAATGTCATAGGAATAATATACTTCAACGAGGTTTTGGGCATTGTTGGGGTCAAATTTGGTTGACATGCTGGCGATGGCAGAAATCAAGGTAGGCGAGTCACGTGCATCAGAGCTGAGGCCGAGAATTTGGCTAATCTTATG